ACATCTGAAACGTCAGTAGCCTGCTTAGCAGTAGGAGGCAGAAGGTATGTTTGTAGCAGAGCTGTAACTAGGACAGGACAAATGGAGGTTTTCCTAGGGTGCTCAAATTTAGAGGCTTCTGATAGCAATTGAAAATAACTAAAATTAGCATCTAGTTAGCAAGAATAATTAAAACAGGAAGTACCTTCCTGCCCCTCCACAGCAACTACACCCCTACTGTTCCCCTTCTTTCAGATGTGACCCATCCTGTTCCTCGCTCTGTCTCACAGCCTTCTTCCTGTAACATCCTCCCTATCAGTGGCCACAAAGCATCCTGAGATCTCTGTCTCTCCTCTCACCCCCACCCCCGAAATTGAATTTGTCTGAAGAGACAAATTCTGGCTTGTAGATAAAATTTCTGAACATCCAAGCAAGTGGGGTGACCAGAGAGAGTCACAGGCACATGTGAAATCTATGCACAAGCAGCTGTTTTTCCTACAATTGGAAGAATCCTTTGTCATTTCAGTAAATCTAGAGGAGGTTCTCAGTAAGCTGCACTGCTGCACCACAGGAAATATCCTCCTCAATCTCTTGAAAGTGAGAAGAGAATTTAAGGATTCCTGGGCAGACTTTCAGTGGCATCTGTTTAAGGTGAAAGCAAGTGCCTAGAGGTTAGACAGCCAGGTTGGGTATTAAGATCAACATAGCCTTTCCAGTGATCTGTGCAATCTAATTTAAAATTAGCCACATCAGGTCAGCCACAGTGTTCTCAATAGCCTTCTCTGGAGAAACAGCAGCAGCACTCTTTACATGCATTAGTCAAGGCTTGCCTATAGTTTCTCTTTCATATTAAACACATGTCAATGGAGTAGCTCTATTTCAGTCATTAGAAAAAGAAAAAGAAAAAGTCATTACTATATACTTGAATGGAAGGGAAGCCAGTACATAATAATAACAGTAATAATAATAGTATTTCACAATTATGTAACATTCTTAAGTAATGTTGTTCTTGAGGTCTCTGAGCTACAGCTCCCAGAATCTTGTACAGGAATGAGCATCTCTGAGTATGCAGGGTATGATAAGGAAGGTGGGACTCCCCCATGAAGGTTAGGGACTAGTGAACATGGCATGGGCCAGAAATGGAAGAGAAAGACCTATTGAGGAGAAAAAAGCAACTAGGTCTAGACCATGCCAGAACCGCTAGCATTGGAAGGGCACGGAGGGAAAATAACCTCAAGCTTCAAATGCTGATATGAACTAGGTGCAATTCCCCATTTTCTTCTTTCCCCTCTCCCTTCACCCTTTGGTCATAGTCAATGTATTGTCCATCAGATTTCTCACAAGAGTCCCAATTTCTCTTAAAATAATTTGTGGAACAAAATTAGCATTTCCATAACATAGTATAATTTATTTTTTATTTTATTTCTATGTATTTTATTATTTTTTACAATTTACTTTCAAACTGTCCCCCCCCCCAAAAAAAAAGGCGAATTCACACATGGGTCTCTGGAAGATGTGGTTCAGAGACTTCTAGAACTCTCTGAGATTCCCAACAGCCTTGTGAGGTAGGTATTTCAAGAATTATCATTACATTTTATAAATGAGGCTCAGAAAGATTCATTGCCCTGCCTATAGCTCCACAGCTGAAAAGTGGTGAAACTGGAGACCAAGGAACAGCCACTATACCTCCATGCTTGCTACCTTCCCACCTTATCAATAAAGCTTCGTTCACCAAAGCTTATTCTCAATGGTAATGGAAATTAACTAAGACTGGATCATCTGCCATTTTTTATATAAGAACAATAGGGGAAGTTATCGACAAGGGCGAGGTTCAATTGTACTGGCATCTATTTTATTTTCTTTCCTTAGGTTCCCTTTTTAAAAAAAAAACACCAAGATTGGACAGAATTTTTAATTTAGAGTAAGTCATCGTACATCAAATCCAGAGTGCAGTGTTTCAGTGGTCCATCCCACTGCCTGTCTGAAGTATTTCTGGAACGTGGAGAGGAACACACACCTAACAAGGATAATGATGTTATGGTTTGAAATTCAGGCAGTAAAGCCTGCTGCTGCTGCTAGTACAGCATTCTAGGCATACTTGCTTGTAAGAGGAAGTAGAGGTGGAGGACAGAGTGGGGAAGAGGAGAGGAGAGGGAAATAGGGATGTCCTAAGCTTCCCTATTTCACTTAAAGTATGCAGGTGCAAGGGTGAAGGTAAGAATGAGAGTTACTCTCTTTGGGAAGTGAGGGGGTAGGAAGTGAGGACTTAGAACATTTCCAGAATGTTTGCCAGGCAGTTCATTACTGGCCCCCTGTGGATAGTTAACAGCTGTGCTGAAACTGCAGCTGGGAAGTTTGGGCTTCTCTTGAAACATTTTCTACCTGGTGAAAATTCAGCGTTCACTATGACCTAGCATGTTATGAGATGTTTTAAGTGAACTTTGCAAAATCTCTGGTGAGGATGGAGCAATAAGAAACATGTTTTCACTGCAACAGGTAGGATTGGGTTGAAATGTTCAAAGTTTCCACTTAGCAGGATCAAACCTTGACCACTAATCTAGACAGCTAGATTTGCACTTTCAGGGGCCTGACAGGGTAAGAGGTGTCACCAGTGACTGTAAGCCCCCTTAGAGAGTGATAATAACTCACTTTGGGATGCTCTACTTACTGGGAAATCTTTCTTTACATCAAGTCTAAACCTGCCTTTGCCACTTAGAATCACAAGAGCATCAATTCAGAGTTGGGAGAGACCTCAAGAGCAATCTAGTCCAACCCCTTTATTTTACAGATGAGGAAACTGAGGCCCAGGGAGATGAAGTTATTTTCCCAAGGTCATGTTGAATAGAAGACCCAAGATTTGAACCCCACCCAGTCCTTAGAAACCAGAGTCAGTACTCTTTCTACTATGCTACCTATTGTTACAAATCCTTCCTTCTGGTACCAGAACAAGCCTCATCCCTCTTCCATGTGATGTCCCCTCATGTACTTGGAGCCAGCTGTCATGTTGTCCCCATACCCCCAAATCATCTCTTCTCCAATCTTAATTCCCAGTTCTTTGACCAGTCCTCATAAGGACATTTACCATTCATTCTAATTGTCCTCCTCTGGATACACTACAGCTAACTAATGTCTTTCCTAAAATGTGATACCGAGGATTGAAAACAGTACTCCAGACATGGCTATAAAAATGAGCATAGCAGTATTGTCATCTCTCTAGTCCTGGATGCTGTGCATCTCTTGATGTAGCCTAAAGTCCCATTAACTTTGGCTATCCAAGTTTCTCTGATAAAGGTCTCATTTCTGAGCTATGTACGGAACTGATTCCAATTTACAAGAATAACAGCCATTCCCGAATTAACAGATGGTCAAAGAATGTGAACAGGCAGATTTCAGAGAATATAATCCAAGCTATTAATTGCCATGTGAAAAGTGCTCTAAATCATTAATAATTAGAGGAATGTCTGTTAAAACAGCTCTGAGATTTTACCTCATACACATCAGATTGGCAAAGTTCATCCCCCTCCAAAAAAAGAGAAATGACAAATGCTGGAGGGCCTGTGGGAAAACAGGTACATTAATGCACTGTAGGTAGGAATGTGAACTTGTCCAGCCATTCTAGAAAGTAATTTAGAGCTACGACCCCAAAGTTAATAAATTGTGCATACCCTTTGACCCAATAATACCTCTTCTAGGTCTGTTTCCTGAAGTGATAAAAGAAAGAGGAAAATAACTCCTATTTACAAAAATATTCGAAGCAGTTTTTGTAATAATAGTAAAGAATTGGAAACTGAAGGGGTGCCCATCAATCAGGGAATGGCTGAACAAGTTATGGTACATGAATGTGATGGGAATACTATTGTGCCAAGAAAGCAGTGATGAAGAAAATGATTTTAGATAAAATGAGAAACATTGACATGAGCTGATAAAGAATGAAGTGAGCAAAACCAGGAGAACAATTTATACAATAACAACCTTATAAAGACAATCAACTTTGAAAGACTTGGGAATTCTGATCAACAAAATAACCAACCATGATTTCAGAGGACTCATGCTGAAACATGCTACTCCACTCTTATCCCTCCACCCTGACAAAGAGGTGATGGACTCAAAGTGAATTTTTGTTTTGGACATGGCCAATGTGGGAATTTGTTTTGCTTGGCTATTCTTATTTGTGACAAGGCTTCTGTTTCTCTCTCTTTCTCAGTTGGGGTTAGAGTTGGGGAAGGAGAAAGGATAAATTTTTATTGAAAAAATGAAATTAAAAATTTTTCTGGTTTTCATATCATATTGTTGACTCATATGAGTTTATAGCCCACTAAAATCCTAAGACTTTAAAAAAATTTTTCTCTCCTTGAATGCTCCTTAAGGACAATGACTGTGCCTTATTCCTCAGTGCATTTTGGGCAGTAGCCCAAAAGACTGATAATAATAACTCCAACAGATCTAGCATGTTAAGTTCTACAAAACACTCTTTTCCCCCAACAATATTATGCAGTTGTTACAGCAAATAGTAATCCCATTTTATAGATGAGAAAACTGAGGCTCAAAGTAGCACAAGTTGATTCACTCATTTTTCAACTGAGGAAACTGAGGCCCACTCAAGTTTGCACAACTCATTAGCTTCACAACTAAGACCAGAATTCAGGTCTCTGTTTCCAATACAGTAGTCTTTCCATATCTATGAATACATTTCAAGGTGGTGAGTGCTGGCATATTTTCCCCTTCTACCTATCATTCCTGTCTGAGTGAAAAGGAGTAAACATGTATCTGCATCTACAAAAATATAGATATATGCATACCTTAATGTATGTATTATGAATGGGTTAGGTTTATAACTGAAAAGACTTAGAGGAAAAGACATCCTACAAAGTAAGAGCAACGGTAGCCAAGGTAGAAGATGAGTCGGGAGGATTTGGAACCAGTGATTTGTGGGGGAGAGGACAGAAAAACATGAAATCCATCCTTGCCTTGACTTTGCTAGAGAAGTCCTCATGTTCAGAATTGTAAAATAAATGACTCACGAATTAGCGGCTGTTCATCCAAGGTTTTCTGCTTTGTTTCTTTCCTCTTAACCAAACTCTCTTCTGCCATGTTGTTAACTGCACACTGGCAAATAGAGAATGAGTTTCAGTATTGTAGCAGGGAGGTGAAGGGAGATTCCATGCATACATTTTTCCAGGTTTGGGAGGTCAAGACTATAAGCCAATAGAATAAGGAAATTCCCCAAGTATTACATTCAGGGGGTTCATCCAGAATTTTCCAGTAGCAGAGTCTAGCTAGAAACCTTTCCGTGTGTAAAGGTAGTGTGTGGGTCAAAGGAGCAGAATATCGGGGTTTGAGAGCAAACTGAGGAAACAGCTTCTCATTTGTTAGGGGACTACTGTATTGGAATGACAATAGACCCAGACGGGGCCGGAGGCTCCTCCTCTGTAAAATGAGGAAGTTGGATTTAGCTCATCTCGAAGATTCCTTACAGCTGGAGATCTATGACACTCTGGTCTTTTACATTGGATTGTCTGTGGACTCTCCTTCCTCGAAAAGCCCTAGGAAGAGGATTCCCTACTGTCAGCTTTGTTTTTAGTCCTGCCTACAGGCAAGAGGAAAGGCTAAATCAATTCTAGTACTGGAGAGGGCACTCAAATGTCACTGAGTCCTCACAATGGTGTCTCCCTGACTAATGATATTCACTTCATTTTTAAGTTGATGAATTGAACTAGAAACAAATGAGTGCAGTGAAAGATGACAGATGCTACGCTGGCCCAAGGACTGTGTTGATTTTCTGAAAGATACAAAAACACAACAACAACAACAACAAAAAAAAAAAGAAAGAGAAAGAGGAAGGCCTTCCATGAACTGAGTCTACTCCCTATGGAGGATTATGGCAAAACATGGACAAGGGCTACACATGGTGAAAAGGCCACTAGCATTTATTGAAGGAGAGTTTATACAGGGAAAGGAAATAGTCACACCAAGGCTCAAAGTCAGCAACTCTGCTAAGGTACTTTGGAAGTTGGACTAACAGGTGACATCCTGGATGAGGGAGGGGTGGTTTGGGGATCACATTCAGGGGACTGCCAAGTGGCAAAGGAGATAGAGTGAAGGGCATAGAGTCAAATCTGGCCTCAGATACTTCCTACCTGTATGACCCTGGGCAAGTCACTTAACCCTGTTTGCCTCCGTCTCTTCATATGTAAAATGAGCAGGAGAAATAAATGGCAAACCCCTCCATTATCTTTGCCAAGAAAACCCCAAGTGGGGTCATGAAGAGCTGGACATCAGTGAAAAATGACTGAACAACAAAATGAAGGCTATTGAGAGGGGTGGAATGGAGAGAAAGGGCTTGCAACAACAGATGAGGGATGGAACTGAAGATAAATTCTGCCAATTCCAAAATTTCCTACTTTTTCCTGGGATCCAAGAAAGTGAAAGCCCACATCAGAGCGACTTGTTGGTGAGAATGAGAACTGGCCTTTACAGCTATTGTCCACCAGGGGGTGCTCTGTGACGTGGCTGGCAACCTAGCAATTCACTCATCTTATAGATATCTCATCATCGCAGAATGTCAGAGTTGTAAAGGCACTTAGAGGTCTGGTTCAATCCCCTCACTTTACAAAGGAAAAAACTGAGGCCAGAGAGAAGTGCCTGAACTTACGTAATTACTAAGAAGTAGAGTCAACATTAAAATCTAGGTCTTTTGTATCTTTTGAGCCGAAATCTCAGATTCTTTCCGTTAAAACCTGGCATTTGTTGTGCTGAGCCCTGGGGAAGAGCCCCTCCCCTCCCAGGAAATTCCCTGGCGTTCCAAGATTCTCGTTGTATCCTCTATCAACTTGGCCTTGCTGAAACAAACAACCTGAACTTGGAGATCCTCCTTTGATAGTGTTCTGTCTTCTTGGACTCCAAAAGGCATTCTTATGTGGGGGGGGTGGCGGGAGGTGGGGGGGGCAGGAGAGCTGAGCTGTGACTCCTTGTCCTTCTCTCACTTCACTCATATTTCCCAAAGCTCCCCTGGCCCTAGATTTTGGAGCTGCTGACTCGAGTATGACTAGTAAACTGTGGGGCTGAGTTTCAAACACTAATCTGATTCCATTTCCTTATCTGTTAAATAAGGTATATTGCATAATGCGCCTCATGGGATTGTTGTGAGAAAAATACTTCCATAAAGAGCTATGTGAATAGGGATAAGGACTGCACCTGTGATTTCACAGGCATAGGAAACTCCTGTACAGGAAAATCCCCTCCATCAATGTAGGTCAGCACCTTCGTCTTAGATAATTGCCTAGAGCAGAGAGTTTAGTGATTTGCCTAAGGCCATATAACCTTATGTGTCGTTCGGAGATGGGATTTGAACATAGGTCTTCTTGTCTCTGAAGCAAGCCTTCTATCAACTATTCCATGCTGCTTCTAATACAAGTGACATAGGAACTATTATTATCACCAAGTAAGGGAAGTTTATAAATGGGGCATTTGCCAATGACAGCTGGAGTGGGGGGCATAGTGCACAGAGAGCTGGGCTTGGAATCAGGAAGACTCATCTTCTTGAGTTCAAATCCAGCCTCTGACATGTCTTAGATGTGTGACCCTAGGCAAGTCATTTAACCCTGTTTGCCTCAGATTCTCATTTGCAAAACAAGCTGGAGAAGGAAATGACAAATTACTCTAGTATCTTTGCCAAGAAAACTCCAAATGGGGTCAGGAAGAATTAGCCATGACTAAAAGAATTCAACAAGAAACAACAAAACTGCCCATACTCATGGACTTATGGTCAGGAGACAGGTTTGAGTCCTGGAAATCTAGCTGGGTGACTCCTGACTCTGAGCTTCAGTTTTCTCCTCTATGAAATGGGAAGAACACTACTTACCTTACCTATGTCATGCTAGTTGTGAGGAAAAGGGAATGCAAATCTTAAAAGTGAATTATTTCTATTATGGAGGCAAAGAAGGGTATAATAAAGTTTAGAAAGATTTCCATTAAAATTCTATCCATTTTTAAAAGACTTTAGTATTTTGTGTCTTTACCAACATGGACTGAGAACTTGACATTCCCCTGGTTTGTTGCTTTTAACCATGTTCATGAGGAGAGAGGAGAGAGAATAATGGATCACTTGGCTGCCATGCTGGGAAGGGACTGCTGTTAAATGCCACAGTTTTCTTCTCCAACAAAATCTTTGAAACAAGGCTTTATTTGGGAGCTACATCTTTCAATTAGAGGAAGAAGGGAGGAAAAACAATGAAAATATACTGGGCATCTGACAGAAGAAGCCTCAGTGGGTGGGTGTGCTGGGCACAGGTATAGACAGGTTTCTTTCCCATAATGCCTCATTTCTGTCTTCCAGAAACACTAATACAAGCTCCTATTGATTGTGTAGAGAGACCAGGCTGTGACTTGTAGCTGTCTAGGGGTGCCAGAGGTTGAATTGGATGAGGGCAGATGCTAACCTGGTCAACACCATGGTGCTGGAGCCCTAAGTGAATAGGGCCAAAACCAACTCAACCCAATTCAGGAAGGTGGGGAGCACCTGGAGACAGTTCCTCCATTTCTGCTACAGGGAACTGGAAGCTGTACTGACTTTCCCAGGACCCAAGTTCCCTGATTCCCCTTGATCAGCCAATGATGCCAGTGGTTGGCATCAAAGTGGTGTTTTATTTCACAGTGTTGAGGTGGAACCTACAGGAAGGAAAAGAAGAAGGAGGTGGTGGGGACAGCAATGGGGCATGATATAGACATGCCTTTAGTGTGTCCATGCAGTTCTGGCTTAGCAGAGTCCTTCTGGCTCTTCAGCCAGTCAGAAGATTCTGCATCACACACAATACCACTACCCCTTTCTCTCATCACTCCTGGCCATCACTCCCGTCTCACACCAAACCTGCACACACTGCATTGGGATCAGGCAGGGAATAGCTGAACACACTCTGTATGACCCACCAGAAAGGTCAAATCAGAGCATGCTCTAAGGATGTGGCTCTCATTGGCCAGTCTCCCCAATGCGTAAGTAATCCTTTTGGGCTGTACCTATCTCTCAAGGGAATTTTATCCCCTAATGGAGGACTTTAAAAGTCACAGAATAGTAGTGAAGGTCTGAAGCAGCCAGTGGGATCTTAACCTAAGGGTCATAATTCTCTTTGTTTCCATAGGCTATTAATGGTCAGCTCAGGTTGTAGTCCATACATAGATGACAACAATTTCAGACTAACTTCTCAGTCTACCAGTGGAGAAGCCTAAGTTGGAAGGGCCTTGGTACAAAATTGACTCTTGTCTATAGGAGTGTGGGAAGCTTAACTGGAGAGGCACGTGTGTATGTGTGTGTGTGTGTGTGTGTGTGTGTGTGTGTGTCTATGTAGTGTGAATTCTTAGAACCAGTGTCTAAGAAGAATTAGTTGGGTTCAGCTATTATTTACAGATCCATTAATATTGATTTAGGCCAATAGATTCTAGAAAGGAATGTTTTCCTCACCAAGCTTCTTTAACTGATAATAACTCAACTAATAGAGTTATTGTAGGTGCAGGATATCTAACAGCGCTGGCTACTTGTGTCTAGGAACCTGATTGGGGAGGGGAACCACAGAATCTCATAGCTGTACAAATCAACTCTTTTCTTCATCTGACTTTCACAGTCAAAATGAAACAGGCAGGATTTTCCTAATAAGTAGATTGCTCATATGGAATCATTTCAGGGACCCTGGAAAAATCATAGATTTAAAATTAGAAGGCACCTTAGAGACCATTTAGTCTATCCCTTCTCCACAGCATACTATTTCCTGGAATTCCACAATTAGACATTGATTCTTTTGGCATAAAAAAAAATTGTTAGTCTCTTAAAAATAACATCTACCCCTGAGATGTGATGATCCTTTTAGCTTATTAGGCATTTGTACCTCGGTGTGAATGAGTGCATGAGATCCTTCCCCAAGATCGAATAGGAAGATCAAGAAGCTGGGAATCTGGGGTAAGAAAGGAACAGAGAAGTAGTTCTAGAGTGAGAAGGGCTCCTATGGGGAGGTTGGTAACAGAACGACAAGTGTTGTTTTTACAGTTTCATGTGGGCTCTGACTCTGGCAATTTACACCTTCACTTGGGCTCTGACCCATCTCAACGCCCCATGGCTGACTTTAGTTACTGCGAGGCATATAGAGTGGAAGGAGAAAATGATCCCATAAGTTTCTCCATTTCTGACTCCTCTAAATTCAGGCGAGGAAAGACCTGCAGGCCCCCTTGGGGGAATCACTACACAGCTTAGCTGTTCCGTTTGTTGAGTACCATCTAGGTTTCTCTGCCTGGTGTTGCCTTTTTTCCACATTCTGGTGTCTTAATTTTCCAGCCTTTTCTTGCTTCCTTCATTGGGCTCCTCTGTCCCCACAATCTGCAATGAATCCTCCCATCCTATGCTTTCCTTCACACTTTTCCCTTTGTTTTTGTTTTTGTTTTTGCTTAGGTAATCAGGGTTAAGTGACCTGCCCAGGGTCACACAGCTAGTAAGTGTCAAGTGTCTGAGGCGGCATTTGAACACAAGTTCTCCTGACTTCAGGGCTGGGGATCTATCCACTACACCACATAGCTGCCCTGTTTTGTTTTCCACACACACACACACACACACACTCTTCCCTTTGCCTAGATCCCCTCCCTCTTCCTTTTTGCCTCTTTAATTCTTATCCATCCCTAAAAGCCTTGCTCAAAAGGCACCTCCTCCAAGAAGCTCTTCCTAATGCCCAAAGTCAGCGATGATGTCTCCTTCAGACGTTGCATAGCACTGTGTTTGTGACTTTCTGTTGTAGTTGTTACATAATGTGATTGGGGGTGCAGCTAGGTGACACAGGGGATAGGCCAGGAGTTAGGAAGACCCAAATTCAAGTCTAACCTCAGACGCTTACTACCTGTGTGGCCCTGGGCAAGTCACTTAACCTGTTTGCCTCAGTTTCCTTATCTGTAAAATGGGGATAATAATAGTATTCACCTTTCAGGGTTGTTGTGAGGATCAAATGAGATTATAATTGTAAAGTGCTTAGCACTGTGCCTGATACATAGTAAGCACCAAAGAAATACCAGCTATTATCATCATCATCATCATCATCATTATTATTATTATTATCTCAGTTATGTTGGTTGTGTGTTATCCCTGTACTTTGAGGAGGTACCTTGAGGGCTGGAACTGAGCTTTGTCTCAACCTTGAATCTTCTCCAGACCTAACACAGTTCTCTGCACATAACCAGCACTTAACAGATGTGTTCCATTGGATTGTAGGCGTGCTAATACAGATCACTCCATTCAGGTCAGATACAATGGAAACACAGAGAAAACGCAATGGATAATGTTGGTTCCAGTGTTGGTGAATAAATTGCAAAGTACAAGAAGAAGAGAGTTATGTGGACAGTCAATTGGATCATTCCATTTTCATTTCCTTTTAATGGTATATTAATATGGGGGGTTGTTGTTTAGTCACATCTGATTCTTTGTGACCCCATTTGGGGTTTTCTTGGCAGAGATACCAAAGCGGTTTGCCATTTCCTTCTCCAGCTCATTTTACAGATGAGGAAACTGAGGCAAACAGTGTTAAGTGACTTGCCCAGGGTCACATGGCTAGGAAATGTCAAAGACCAGATCTGAACTCAGGAAGATGGAGCCTTTCTGATGCCAGGCCCAGCACTCTGTGAACTATGGCGCCACCTAGTCGCCCTAATATGGGAGGAAGGGTTGGGAAATACTTAACATTTCCAAAGAATTCAAAATAAAAACAAAAAGTCTGTTTACCGGTCAAGAAGAAAGCAACAGCCTGACATGATAGTACACCTGTGACCCTAGCTACCGGGGAGGCTGCGGCTGATTGATCTCAAGCTGGGGAGTTCTGAGTTGCAGTGGGCCGTGCTGATCAAGTGTCTGAACTAAGTTAGGCATCAATATGCTGAGCCCCTTGGAAGGGCAGGCCCCTTAGTGTACAAGGATGCCTAAAGTTGGATGAATTGGCTCAAGTCAGAGCCCCCGGGCTCACCAGTAGTGGGATTAGGTCCTTGAATAGCCCCGTACTTCCCAGCATGGGCAAAGTGGGGGAACCAAAAATAATAATTAAAAAATTAAAAACAGGAGAGCAACGGATCCTTTTAATGAGGGATAATTTTGTAGCATGCCATACAGAGGCTTTGTAGTTTGACGACAGAATTCATTAATCCAATTCGACCTTTATTAAGCTCTTACTCTGTGCAAAGAAAGGGATATCACAGCAGCAAAGTTTCTCCTTGCTCACCACTGTGTCCGCATGTCCAGTTTTACAATGCATTACCTGCAGTCAAAAAGTTGGACATTTCTGCTAGCAACTAGACAGCCAGGAGCAAGGAGGGCACCGGGCTTCATGAGGTCAAGTTCATGCTAGATCCCGAGTTCCATGACCTACACCCAAATCCCCAGCCCCAATAGCTCAAGTCCAGAGTTTCCGTCTCTTCACCTGATTACTTGCCCTGCTGGATATGAGTCAAATCTTATAATGGTTAGCTATTCCCCTCCCCAACTCCCCAAATCATTTGTTGAAGGCCTTTCTCCTGCTCAAGAGAAGACTGCACATTTCCTAGGATTCC